CTCATATGCATCAGGCACTAGACCAGATAAAGTCAAAATTCCATAATTAGATGTTTTATTACAATACCATGCAGTACTAATTAAAGGAAAGCATGCACCTTAGCTGCAAATTATTCTGTAGCAGCTTATAAAAATTGTTGCATTCAGAGAAAAGAAAACTTTTTTTATTAATTTTAATTATAGAGTATTTAGACTACTCGAAAATCAACTTAGTAAAGTAACCCTGAAAATAAAATATTGATGGAAAAGCGGATTCAGAAATTAAAACAACATGCATCATCATCATCAATCTGATGTTACTCGCGGATGGAACAGCAATCATTTTCTGGTCATCATTTTCTTTTTAAAATTCTAGTGAATATACACAGGGCATTAAATGCAACATATTCACAAATGTAACTTTTTAGGCCTACAACAAAGTTAACGTTACTTTATGCTTCAACTGTGTCACCTCAGCGGTAATAACATAAAATGGGATGTGGCTTGTATTGTCAAAACTCGCGATAGGTGGCGGCTAGATCTGGCCAGGTGGAGACTAGGACAGTGTTAAGGTCCGATATATCTTTGAAAAAAGAGGGTAAGTTACCTTAAAACCATTCAATGGATGGATGGTTTTATGCTATGTGACATCCGGATGATGTATATCATTTATTTAAGTAAAACTGAAACTTAGAATATGTTAATCACTTCGCGGGGTTGCCGCTGCCAGGCCCTTTAAATTGCCAGAAGTAACTGCAGTCTTAATTATCTTTTTTAATTGCTGTCTAAATTATCTTTTTTCTCAGTTTTTCCCAATCAGCTTATTCCAGTAAAGTCCAGTTTAATGTAGTTTTATGCTTGTAGCATTTGATCTCTCCGCAGACAGAAGAATAACAGTATGGCTTCAAGCAGGGGCAGTCTTGATTACAGGGGAAAGATCATCCTTGCCCCCATGGTCCGTATTGGGGCTCTGCCAAAGAGATTGCTTGCTTTGGAATATGGGGCAGATTTGGTGTATTCTGAGGTGAGATGTTAAAAGGTACACACACACACACACACACACACACACACACACACACACACACACACACACACACACACACACACACACACACACACACACACACACACACACACACACACTGAGCTTATTAGCTGCTGAGCCACTGGCATCACAAGGCTAACAATTTTAAAAAGTGTCCTTCATTTCTGTGGATTTTTTTGTACTTTGCCTTGATACTCCTCTTATGCTTTCACTTCTGCTCTTTTCATCAACTGGTCAAAGGCAGAAATAGTGACCGTAACTGAACTTCCTAACAAAATTTTATTGACTCAGTTTCAATATTAATCTCATTTGACATTGGCCGGTGGTTGATGACATCGCAATTTAAAGTGAAATGCACTTTGAGGTGGAGGATGTTTTCAAAGGTAATTTATTTTCGGGTAACAAAAACATTCAGAAATTTAAGTTTTCTCAAGATATTTTGCTGTATTATTTTACAGGAAATAATTGATTTCAAGATATTGAAGTGCAAGAGAGTTGAAAATGGTGAGTAGATGGCAGTTAAATTTTATTTGATTTGTAATAATTAATTTTTAATTTTACTAGTACTAATTTTGTGCTCACTGCAACTTTTTTGTGCAACTTTTTTTTTCAAAATCGGAAACAGGACTGATTGAGGGAAAGGTGTTATATACCAAACAACATGCAACAGACAATGATGACTAGTTTGTTTGCAAGCCCTCTTCTTTCCTATAAAGCCAAAGATGTCATCATGATGGCTTTGTAAAAATATAATTCATAGATGGATTCAGTGAGGATGTGGTAGAGACCTGTTCTCCTTTGGAAAGTCAAAAATGTTTATTGAACATGGTCACCCATCCCTGAGTGTCAGAGTAACTTAATTAACAGCACACCCACCTGTGGTTTCCAGTAATAAAGGTGAGATTTTAGTGATCTCTGAAACTCGGGGTGCCCCAAAACCTCTCTTCTTCAAAAAGGAAGAAAAAGCATGAAGTGAGGCCCACAGAACTTTGATCCATATGTTTCAATGGAAATTGTCCAAGATAATGTAAACCAAGGTTGTTGGCAGTATGTGACGTCATAATAGACTAAAAAAAGGACTATAAGAGAATCCTCTTTTTAGCAGGATATCTTTATGGTGTAATTCTATTGACAATTGCTAGTCAGCCATTATTTCTGACTCCAGTGTCCTTAAAATCCCACAAAATCTCACCTGGTTTTATGCTATGTTGCCATAGTTGTGTTAATAATAATATGTGGTTTATCATTATTTCCAGTCTTATTGGGGACTACAGACTTTGTGTTAAGAGATGGGACTGCTGTGTTCAGAACTTGCACCAAGGAGAAAGGAAAAGTGGTTTTTCAAATGGTAAGTTAAATTTAAACTTTTCTTATGCCTTAATATTTGAACAAAATTACAGTGTTACAGACTGAATATTAGAATAATTATAGACATTGCAATTTTGATATCTACATACAATCTGCTTGATAATACTTATCTATTGTGTTGTAATAAAACATTTTGTTTAATGTTGTGGCCCAATAAAATGAAATTTTATCAGAGTTGAATAATTCACTCTCCCTTATATCATAGGGCACTGCAAATGCTCAGAGGGCTTTAAAGGCAGCAAAAATGGTGTAAGTAGTAACTACATTTTTTCCTGTTTGAATAAGAGAGAGAGAGAGAGTCAAAGAAAATATATATATATATATATATGCCACTGAAAATTTGTTTTATATAGATCATTTCACAGTCACTGTTTTTTTTTTTTTTCTATTTCTGACATTTTTAGTTCAGTGAAGTATATTTCCACCGTTGCCTAGCAAATTAGTTTAAGGTAGTTATAATGAAGTGGATTTTAACACATTTCTTGAGATAGGAGAAGAGAAGAAATTTAAGTGAGGGGAAAATTGTGTGGGGGGAATGGCCTTTTCATCCATTTTCATTAGTATAATGAAGATTTTATTATATTTTTCAGAGAAGGAGATGTTGCAGCAGTGGATGTGAACATGGGTTGCCCTAAAGATTTCTCAATACATGTAAGAAGAGGGAGAATTATAGCGAACGAACGAAATAATGATATATATCATTTAAATATTATGCATATGCTGGGATTAAGATTTTGTTTTGTTTAGCCAAATAGCTTATTTTCACCAAAGCTTATTATCTGAAGTTNATATATATATGCCAATGAAAATTTGTTTTATATAGATCATTTCACAGTTTCTGTTTTTTTTTTTTTTATATTTCTGACATTTTTAGTTCAGTGAAGTATATTTCCACCGTTGCCTAGCAAATTAGTTTAAGGTAGTTATAATGAAGTGGATTTTAACACATTTCTTGAGATAGGAGAAGAGAAGAAATTTAAGTGAGGGGAAAATTGTGTGGGGGAATGGCCTTTTTATCCATTTTCATTAGTATAATGAAGATTTTATTATATTTTTCAGAGAAGGAGATGTTGCAGCAGTGGATGTGAACATGGGTTGCCCTAAAGATTTCTCAATACATGTAAGAAGAGGGAGAATTATAGCGAACGAACGAAATAATGATATATATCATTTAAATATTATGCATATGCTGGGATTAAGATTTTGTTTTGTTTAGCCAAATAGCTTATTTTCACCAAAGCTGATGATCAGGTGGAAATTTTAAAATTATTATCTGAAGTTAATATCTCTTAAAATTATTTCACTGTGGTATAAGTCAAGACAGCTGATATTGGCAATTAATACGTTGTGACGGAGCTCATAAATGGAGTTTTTTTTTCTGATGAGATAGAGGAACTGCCATAAATTTCTCAGTTAATACACATGTAGACATGTTGATACTCTCAATAATGCATTTCACATTCACAAATTTTCTGTCAAAAAATGATCGACTCATTTATTTATTTCTTTAGATATCTATTCATTCATTCTAGGCTGGAATGGGAGCTGCATTGCTGACTCAGCCAGAAAAGATAAAGGAGGTCTGTAAAGTTGTAATTTGGCCTAACTTGACCTAAAGTCTGCTCAAACAAAGACCAATTTAAAATGGGAATAGCTTAAAGATATATTTTTGACAACTGAAAGTACCTGGAATGAGCTTAAAGATATACTGTTGACACCTGAAAGTATCCTACCAACATATTTTTATGTTCAAGTTTCTTGCAAAGCTACTAATCTTTCCCAATTTAGACCTTGAAAACAATGAAAACACCGACTTCAATAAAAGTAACTGGTGTTGAGATTTTCTTCTGAAATGTCAGGATGATATTGTAACGTGACCGGGTCGTACCCTGATCCTTTCTGTATATTGATGAAGTTTATTTCTAGTTAGCGTTGTTTACCCGAAATACTATTGCCGCACTGCCGTGATAAACAGACGAACATGGGAGCCGCCATTGTGTTACGTCATACAGCCTTGACATAGTTAACGTGACCTCGTGACCTCAGAATGTAAACAAACAACAAAGGGAGGGAACCTAGACGTAAATGATGCTCACGTACAACGTACGCAAACGTAGATCGTGGAAAAAGAAAAACGCAAGGAAAGCGTTGGAGTGGAAGCGTTGCAGTCGGGTAGAAGACGAAAGAAAAAAAAGACGTGCGGAAGAGAAAAAGGAGTACAGAAGAAGACGAGTGAGAGAGCGGAAAAGTGATTTACACTGGTCTTCCGGACCGCAACTCCAGTAATGCGTTATTTTTGAGTTTCTTTGGTTTTGTTTGCGTTTTTAACTCATTTGACCAGCAGCCGGGCATGGAGAACTTCTTACCGATCTCGACGATCCAATGCATGAGGAAGTGTAGGTGGAAATTCCTGACAGTTGGATACTGAAGGTGGAAATCCTAAGAGCTGGCCACTCCAGGTGGGAAAATTCCTATTCTCCAAGACTGTTCGTGTGTAATGAAGCCATGTGCCGTAGCCAAGAAGACTGGACACCTTCGTGTAACTTTTTGTTGAGTTATTTGAGTTATCTGACGTTTGGTTTATTATCGATTTAATTGTTCAGCGTCCGCGCATGCAGCAACTGCAGGTGGGGATGCCTGAATCTACAGGGGATACATAGCCCATTCTCCAGGATTTTCGTGTAAAGTGAAGCAGCTGCAGGTGGGGATGCCTGAATCTACAGGGGATACATAGCCCATTCTCCAGGACTGTTCATGTGAAACGAAGCATTGTGCCGTGACAGTAGACTGGACCCATTCAGTAGCGTTTCCGTTATTATTAAGATTTTTAGTTGAGATTTAGTTCGACGTTATTTTATGTTTTGGACTCTAAGAGAAACTGTGAACTCTGTGCGTACGTAACATGTAATGTTGAACTGAGTAACATGAATGACTTTAAATGCGTACGAGATACTCAAATGTCTTTAACTTTTCTTACGTGTTATTGAAATTTTATAATCGATTTCTGCGTTTATTAAAGCTGTTTGTCTTTACTTGAAATCCACTCTTGTTGTTTGTGCTTGGGATATACTTTCCCTGGGGAAAATCAACATCTCTCCCGACCTGCGATTAAATTAACGTGCCCACAGGACTCCCGAGGGGAGGGCTCGTGTCACAATATGCTGCCACATCTAAAGGTTAAATTCACAAAATGCCTCAGTTATCACCATATTGATGAGAACATTTTCTAGACCACCCCCCACCCCCTGGGACTCGATAAATGTCCTGGATCCTATAGTGACCAGACTGATTGACCAATGACCGACACTATTCTTATAATTTCAGATCCTTACAACCTTAGTGAATGGACTTTCCATACCAGTGACTTGCAAAATCAGGATTCTCCCCACAGTGAGTACTTGAATTCATTATGAAAACCAGTTAGTGTTAAATAAAAGTCCAAGTAGGTTATAAATCCAAAGTCTTAAGTGTTGGCCTTAGTATGGTTATGCCCTTGTTTTAATTCAAATTTTGATAAATTATCTGGAACCCATATAACGAGGTAATTGGTTAAAAAAATTGGTAGTAGATCAAAGACCAGAAATATATTTTGGTTTTGGATGAATCTGTAGTAGTCCACTAAAATAGTCATTTCTCACTTTCTGTGAAGCAAGTACACTTTCCTTGATTAAGATATACTACAGTATTTATTTATTCTGGGTCCAAGTCCACTTTTAACCAAATTTCAACTGAGTTCCTTTGAACAGAGGGGACCTTCCGGCTCAGTCTAAACCCAGAACAAAAGTGAGATGTTATAAACTTATCTGGTAGATATGCTAGGGTTTATCTTTTAAACCTTCATTGTATGTTGGCTCAAGAAATTTAAACTCTTGAAAATTTGAGATGTTCAAATAGTCATCTTGTACACTTACTGTAAGTAGGTTGAAGATATGGTAACTTTGATATGATGTCTTTGAATATTAAAAATAATGACTTGTGTTCACTTATATTGCACACAGGTTGAAGAAACTGTGAAACTGGCCAAACTGATAGAAAGCACAGGAGTGGCAGCACTAGCAGTTCACGGTCGAACAAAGGAACAAAGACCACGCCATGAAAACCAGAATCATTTCATTAAAGCAGTTGCTGAAGCCCTAACCATTCCAGTTATTGCTAAGTATGTACTACATAGACATGAGACTCAAAGTAGCATGTCAGATTTTGACAAAATGCATGTTTGAAGAATTTTTAGTTTGGTCAAAGAATTGCCTTCCTTCCTGAATTTACTTTTCATCATTTCAAACACTTTTCTTTCAAAAGTTTTGATAGGAGACTCTACAATTAAATGAACAGACTACAGTGCACTCCAAGGTAAAGGGAAAAATTTCCTTTAAAATATAAGGAGAACAGGATTCATTAGGAATTATAATCACCTCTTTCTTAAGCGAATAATTCTATCCTTAAAATGCATCAAATTTTGTGGATAACTTTTTGAAATACCGTGTCCTCTAACAAGCAGACAAACCAACACCTGTAAAAGCATGACTTCCTTTATTGATAGAGGTAATAACTTTTATAAAGCTACATTGTATTTTGATAAGATACAGCCAAAGATCCAATATGATTATTTTATCTTTATTCTTGTCTACATAGAAAAGATTAAAATAACCATTCATATAATTGATACTTTTGTTATTCAGTGGAGGATCCAAAAATCACATCAGGAAATATGAAGATATAGAATGGTTTCGTCTAGAAACTGGAGCAGATTCAGTGATGATAGCGAGAACAGCAGAATGGAATACTTCTGTATTTAGAAAAGAGGGAATGCTTCCCACAGATGAGGTCATAAAGGCTTATTTAAAAATTGTAAGTATTGATGTTTAAAAATTCACTTCAGTTACTTTATATCTGAACTCACAGTGAATGTCAGTGTCAGTGTTGCCATGACTAAGAAGTCATTGTCATAGCAACCAAGATTTTAAGAAAATGTTTGTATATTGTATAAACTGGATTTAATAATCTTCATAAATTCATTGGCAGTGTGACACAAAAAATAGATAACTGTGGGGCTAATTTATATTTGTAAGAAAAGTCTTCATTGAGCTAATAGACTATAAAAGCAACAATGTGGCCTACTTATTTGTAACTTTTGATTCAGGCAATAGACTACAACAATAATATGACCAATACAAAGTACACAGTGCAGCAGTATCTCCACGAGAATCTCAACTCTCCTGTAGGGGAGGCAGTAATGCAAGCAGAACTGATGAGAGACCTCTGGTGAGCATTTAGATCTCATTCAGAACAGGGGAATAACTAGTCCCAGGGTCATAATGGCCAACCCACTTGAATACTTCCCCAGAGGGAATCTGTTCAGTGTTTATTAGAGGTTTAGACGGCAAGCATTTTAGTGGATCGCCATATTTGACCCGTGGACTAGTTAGTCCAATGTTCTGATTGCAGCCTTAGAGATGTCATAATTGGAGACTTCTGTTATCACAAAGTCTGAAAGTCTTTAAAAACCTGAATTTTTATTTTAAACAGAGGGGGATATGTGTGGAAGCTGTCCGTTGTTTAACAAAATGTCACTTTTGCTTCAATGGTTTGATAAAATGTTTTGAAATACAGGTTAGAGGTAAAGCTTAACGTGTGAATATTTCTTCAGTGCACCCTTTTCTACACCTTTTACCTTCATTGGCTTAAAAAGGATATTTCCATTCTATCGTCATTACCAAATTACATTTAAAGAGTATATGATAATTGTTTCCACAGTGCACCTTGGGGTTTAGTTGAATATCTAGAAGAAACTGAACAAAAACGTCGAGAGAGAGCAGAGACTCTCATACAGACAATGGCAGATGAAGATGGAACTGGGTCATATGGACTGAAGAAAAGAAAACTCAATGATGGTTCCGAAATTATTGAAATGCCCATCAAGTTTATAAGGTATTGCATAATATACAATTATTAAATACATAAATTTATGAATATATAAAGATATAATAAACATTAATATGACAATAAATGATTGAAAATAAGTAATGATTATGATGATAATAATTCAAAATGATGTTAATGATTTAAAATAAAAGGAAGAAAAACACTTCACAGCAGTACATCAATCCCTACCATATAAAGCAGAGAAATAAAACGATTCATAATTTTTTGAAAAATTTTCTCATGCTAGATTTTCTTTTCTCAGCATGAAGAAAATTTGATAAATTATGTTCAGTATGGCTGTTATTGATGTATTGTAACTATTTTGACAGAAAAGAATATGAGGGCACAGGACCTAAAATGATTTTATATGAGTGGACAAAGAAGAATAACCTACAGAAACCAGTTTATGACACGGTAAGTGAACAGAATCAGTAGTCAGTAGACTGTAAACTACTAAACACAAGATAATATGAGTAAGTAAATGGTCCCGAGCAGTTAAACATTATTATGACATGTATAATTCAACCAGCGGAAATTGATATATTTTGTCATTTCATTTTGTCAGATGTACAATATATTTTTATTTATGTTTTTTTCAGGAACAAAAGGGAAATGACCGTTGCTTCCAGTCAGTTGTCACTGTTGATGGAAAAAAGTTTTCATCTTGTCACTGGTAGGTTCTATAATCATACCTTCAACATGTTTCGGTGCTTGAAGTTATTTGCAACCACCCTCACGGTTTCATCATGGAAATGATGCTGACAGTGAAGATTTGTCATATATTTCTACAATTTATAAATTGACAACTTTATTTCTCTTGACAAAACTCATGGAAAAGATTCATTATAAATATGAAATTAGAGTTTAAAAAATATTTAAAATTACTCTTGAAAATAAAATTTTAGCACTTGAATATTTATTTTGTATTTTCAAAATCAAATATATGAGTATTTACAATTTGTAGGGAAAAGTCCAAGAAATATGCAGAAAATGCAGCTGCCATTGTGTGTTTACAGTATCTTGGACTTCATGATGAAAGAAAACTAAACATCGTCTGCCCAATTCCAGTGGATGGTGTTAGTTTGGGGACTCCACCAATCAGAGTGGTCCTACCAGAGTCCAACAAGAAAAAGGACAAATCAGGAGAGGCCTCACAAAATGATAATGTAGCACAACATAGTCTCAATAATGTAAATGTTTCTGGGCAAAGACAGAACAGTTCTCAAACAAAAGAAGGTATGATAGAAAAACGGGAGACTATAAATGCCACATGTGGGATTTCAGGAAATATTGATCCTTTAAATTCTGTGCATGATACAGCTGTCGTGGAAGGATTTAACTCACCTAATGGTGAAGTCAATGGTCACTGCAAGCTGAAAGATAAACACTAATTTGGATTTACATTTTAAAATCACCATTATGGTCTGAAATAGCATGTGGGTTACATTTTTAACCATAATGTGTCCAGTGCAGTTTTATGTAGAAAATTATTTTCAGAGGTAGAAGATCATTTTAAGTATTTCAGTAGCGTTTGAGTTTGAATAAAATTGCATGAAAGTTTCCATACCTCAAAGTAGAAAGATGTATTTTTTTCATTTTTGCAAAAATATGACAATTTAGGTTATATTTTTAGTATATCTTTCTTTTTGTGCACAATTTAAACTTGACACTTTTAAAAGATTTTGACTACATTTGCCATTTAAAAAAGCTGAAATCTTTGCTCTTGAATACAGAAGCAAAGAGATGGACTTGAGTGTTTGAAATCAATGTATAGTGATAGTTGACATCAGGGATTGATAATTATTTAAGAATAATATTGAGTCTAAAATCAATATGTGCTCAATAGACTTAACTATATAGGTAAATGTACAATATTTTATTTAACAAATACAATTTAAAGGGTATTAAGAAAGTAAAGGCGATGGAAGAAAGTGTTAACAATGCCATTACAATCTTTTTTCATAGGATACTGTATTAATGGTTGGCTCTGTAATGTATTTATGGTACAAATAGAAAATTTCAAAACTGGACCACTGTCAGCATCATTTGACGTAAATCTCCCACGAGTCTCTTGAGACCTTTTAGCATTTTTAAGTGGCTTTTATTTTATGTTCTTTTATCTGTTCAGGTAAAACTATATTAATTACTTTTATTAATTTATAACTTCTTAATTTATAATAAAGTATAACAAAATGAGCAAGCTACAGCACAATGAGTGGGCATTTTTTCTTTCATAGTCACTAAATGAATACAGGCTTTCAAACATATTGTCATGACGGTATCCAAACTAACTGGGAGTTAACTGGTGCACACTATAATCCATCATAATGCACAGCTATTAACAAAAGTGCAACACTGTCAAATCATCATGGACAGGCATGCTGGAATAAATTGTCTAAGACAAATAATTTCAACCAAGTATGCAAGAAAGCAAATTTTACATCAGTTTATTGTGTTGGCTTCTTGTTATCTTTTCAATAACATCAATTTATTTTGCTTCTTCTTTGTATTTAACAAAGCAAACTACTTGAATTCAAAAGTTCTTTTGCAGTAAGTACTTATCAACTGAGCACTTTTCCATCTTCATTAGCCATTAAAAAGTTGCTTTTTTACTGTCTCTCTTGGTTATACAAGTTAACATTCAGAGGTGATATTTTTCAGAACATTCAGTGGTGATATTTTTCAAAAACAACAGAGATACATTTCAAGGTTTTCTTTCGAATTGTTCAATCCTTGCATTTCCTTCAGTGTTATTATTATTCGTTCCAATGGGATGTTTTCCCCCCAATATTGTTTGTGTCAAAATTGTGCATTTTTTCTAAACTTTGCTATTTCTTCTCTGCTTCTGCTTCTTCTGTTGGTACAGTGTTGGCCTCGGGTCTCATTTGTGGGAAGAAGAGGACTTCCTGTGTAATTGAAAAATTATAAATTAAAAAATATATTAACACATATTTGTTAAAAATAGTGCCAAGCTGTATATCTGCTCTATTGCTAGGTATATGATTAAATTTTTGGAATAATGAAGAAGATCCAATTGTAGAATGTGAAATACTAAAATTCTATAACAATCCATTCCCACAATGTTCCTGTCCCTCTGCAAATTTAACTTCGTGATAAATAGTTTCCAGATGGCAGTGAATGTCCATTTCAAGGGCACTAATTTCTCCATCTCCCTCCCAACCAATCAGGGATGAGATTGCGATTTAGTAAAAAAGTAGGAAAATATGGCGCGGAGCCCAAAGGGACGCTTAGGCCAATGATATTTTTAGCTCCCAAAAAGTTGGAAATCTGACAAAAGTTGAAAAATGTCATCCCTGACCACTACTGCCATTACCTTGATATTATTGGAGTCGGTCAAGAACATGGTCACTCTGTCAATGCCCATTCCCCAGCCAGCCGTGGGGGGCAGACCATACTCCAGAGCTGTGCAGAAGTTTTCATCTACAAACATTGCCTCGTCATCACCTGCATCCTTGTCCTAGGGGAAAAAAAGTTCAGGGTTCTAACCATAAATCAAATTTAATTTTTATACAAAGAAATATGAAAAATCTATATTTACAAAAATTAATGAACTGAGATGGTACACATGCATTTAAAATAAACTGATTAGAGTCACAAAGTATTGAGTGAAACACATCAACTACACAAGCTGTGCTGCTTCTATAGTTTTTCAATCAATTGCTTAAATTATAGCCGTTTTTATTTTTTGTTCTCATATTCAAAGATTAATGAAGTAAAACAGGAAAGGCTCACATTCAGCAGGTGACCTTTACATAGCAAAAATTTAGAAATTTTTTGGAAAAAAAGTTTGTGTTATATAAAGATCCAACGTGAACTTGATTTTTTATGAATAACAAACCAATAAATATAATAAGATAATAACTAATATTACTTTGGCTTGAGCGTTGAACATCTCTCTCTGTACTACAGGGTCATTCAACTCTGTGTATGCATTGCAGATCTCCTTCTTCATCACAAACAGCTCAAAACGCTCCGTTAATCCAGGGGTGGAGCGATGCCTTGAAATGAAAGGTACTCTTGGTGAAGAAATGATCTCACAATGTAATATTGACTTTTCTTCTAATGCTGAGTATAATTTACTTTTGCTTACGAAACATGAAATATATTCGTAAATGTTTGAGAATCAGTCAGTAACAGTTTTTGTTTTCAAATTTTAATTTGGCTAAAAAATTTCACTTATCTGGCTAAAAGATAATACTATTTGCTAAAAACTATTACAAAAAAAATCTTATCCATAATTAAAGCCCCTACAGAATCTTTGTCATTTACAGCCAACTATCATGAGAAGAGAGAGGCAGATACAAATGGAGATAACAAAATAAATACAGACATAAGGAGACCCACGCCAGAGGTCAGACAGTCTGGTCCTAAAACTTACCACTTGGCCAGTGGGCTCATGACCTGTGGGTGGTCAGTTATAAAGGTAGGGTTGACACACTGGACCTCTATAAAGTCTCCAACCAGCTGGAATATAAAATCTACATTAATACTTTAAATATTTACAAACACCACTTTTTTTTCCCAGGATTGGGGTTACAGTACAGGCTGTGCGACATTATCCCTGTAATTTCCCACAAAATTTCGGGGAGTGCAAGCCACCATTTTTCAAAATAGTGAACCGTCCAGCCATCATTTGGACAGCAGCTGGATGGTTCACCGGACAGCCAATATTTTCAAACAAAACGTTGTTATGGAAAAAAGCAACTACAGTAGGGTAAGGCATATTTGTATCTATTGCTTGTATAGTTTACTATTAGTATATTACAGGAATGTTATTTCCTTTGGCCAGAGAGTGAAAACTGAAAAGGCAAACCATGTCCTGCAAACAACAACCTTCAGTGTAAGGGGATGGATAGGGGTGTTGGTTGCTGAACCACTCCACCTGGGCTAGCTTTATCAGCAAAATAGATACATAGTAAGCCTAGATGAAGGTAGTACTTAAAAAAATCTTAAAATTTAAAAAAATATTCATAATTTAGTGCTTGGATTACCTTATCCAGTAACCTAGCTGAGGTCCTGGGTGGAGTACACTCCACATTGTGTTGTATACACAGCTTTTCCAGGAACTGCCTGGTTTCTGAAAAATAAACAATGTTGTCGTGTCACTTATACAGACAGTATAACCTTGTGACTTACTTCCCTCCTGAATAAATGTCAATCCTGAAAATTTCATCAATGTTTGTGAAAAGAATCTTTGGAACTTCTTGTATGCTTGTATTGCAAACACAAACAAATACTGATAGATACATAACCTTCGTTACTGTTGACAGTTGCAACACCAATAAAAACCCAACTTTCTTTGTTTAAATTATCACTAATAAATTAAACAAGTCATGTGATCTATCCTTACCTTCAGTGCCAAGATCTTTGGCTGGTGGAAACTTCACCTTCAGAATGTCTTCCAGATCCTTGATCATGCTGATCTTTCTGAAGGGTGGTGTGAAGTCCACCTCCAGTGCCTCCCCCTCTGGTCCATCTGGGTGATAGACCACTTTGTAGCTACCCGTTATTGACTTGACCATGCCTGAATAATGGAGAGGGGGGGGGGGGGGGTGCATTAATTAATTTTGCCAAAAAGATTGTATATTGAGTTTGATGGGTATTTACTAAAAGAAAACTCTGATTGATAGTAATGTGTCAATCTAATGAACAATTGTATGTTTTTGTTTGTTGATTTGTTACTCCATTACTGATTGTACCTTTAAACCTGTTCCTGTTGTTTATGCTATGGAAATGAAATAATGAATCAATGATACATATGTTTTTGCATATATTTTAAATCCATTAGGCAATTAAAATATATCAGTTTGTGTACGCATGCATCTGTCTTTGATCCGACTTATATCATTTTCATGGAGTATACATTACATGACTCGATACTTTTTTATTTGTCTCTAGACATCATTCTACCCTAACCTGACACCAATGTTTCTGTAATCTTCATCAAGTCCTGATAGTCTGCGTACGCCATGTAGAATTCACATGTCGTGAACTCTGGATTGTGTGTCAAGTCAATCCCTTCGTTTCTGAACTGCCGACCTATCTCGTACACACGGTCTATGCCTCCAACTACCAACATCTGAAACACATATTAATTACTCAAATATTTAAAACACCTTTAAAGTTATATATTTTAATTTTCTATTATTATCAGAGCTGCTTCTCAGAACTTTAAAATTTTCTGTTTCAAACATTTATCAAAAAATATCATTTGGAAAAATGCATATTAACCAATTAATATCAAATTAGTTCGTAATGACCAAATAACCCAATAACTGTCTTAGATACTCTGGTTTTACTACAGAATTGTAGTTGATTATAAATTGCCAATTCATTCTTTTTTTATACAAAAAAATATATCACTTTAACTGAATCAATTTTTAAAACCAAAATCAAAAGCAAAGCTTAATTTATATTTTCTTCTTAATAGAAATTTGATCTTTTTTTTGTCTTTAAAAATAATCTTTTATCTTGCCAAAGTTGTATAAAAATACAAGATTAGAAGAAAAACAATTGTGAAAGTCTTTGTATAACTACGAGTTTTTTTTTTTACAGTCTTTGTACAATGTTATCCCACCTTGTGATATAACTCGGGTGCAACCCTCATGTACAGATCCATGTCAAGGTCATTGTGATGTGTGATGAAAGGCTTGGCAGTGGCTCCACCTGGGATCATGTTCATCATGGGTGTCTCAATCTGGCAAAAAAAAACAATAAAAATAAATAAATAAATAAATAATAGTCCATCTCAGGCAAAGTGCAATTTTGAAAGAGGAAGGAAAATAATAACAATGAAAACCGTGATATCGATCAAGTTCCAATAACTCCTAAAAATCCTAACACTTCAAGTACTACCACATGTCAAGTAACATAAAACACACTGATTCAATAAAACTACAGCTAAAACATAAATATAAATTTTAAAAGACACTCTGGTATATTGCAACCACCAGTTAAATCTGCAATAACTTTACTGAACTTACCTCCAGAAAACCAAGTCCATCTAAAAATTTTCTGATATAATTGATAATTCTTGCCCTGGTCACAAACTTCATCCGCACATTGTCATTTAGAATAAGGTCCAAGTATCTTTGCCTAAATCTGGTCTCCTAAAATGAAAATAACCAGCAGTGGTTTAGAGTACAATATGCTTACATTAGACTAGTTTTGGTAATCACACAATTTATTTTC